TTTTGCTGTTGTTGTTGTCTGTTGCGGTTTTTCTAGGCAAATTTTACATTCAACAGTTTGCCACTTCTTTCTCTAAGTTTGTTTCTTGATACCACTGTTGAACCAATGCAAGAGGGTCTGCTGTCAAATCAATTGCAGCTAGGACTGAACCTGGCACTCCATCATAATAAAGAGCGTTCACAGCATCTAAGCCAAAAAGGCTGATGTACCTAGACTAGAATTTAAAAAAAAATGAACTGATCTTGGGTTCTCAACCCTAGCGTAAAACTTGTACCAGACAATTTCCTGTGAAGTAAAAGTCTTCTTCTTGTCTTCACGTTCACCAAACGAAAAATGCATTAAGCTATTTATTATTACGGTTTACTATGTATTACAAATATGGCACTCGTTTTACGCCTCAATATAGCGAAAATAATGCTCAATGCATGCTTATGTCACTCAAGCAGAAAGTGTAACCTGTGAACGCTACCAGTTATCAGTACTATAGTGATAGCTGTTCATACATACCTCTCAACAGCGAAGGTATGAGGAGGAAAATAACATGTGATACCCTCTCCAGTGTTATGGTTACCTTCTAACACTTACACATGCTAATTGAAGATGCCTCACCACTGCACATCACCAATCTAGTGCTAACTGGTCTATAAAAATATGAGAGTAACATTATATGCCTGACTGACCACTGGTGTGAAAAGGGTCCTAAACGTTACTTTCTCAGCTGTAAGTTGCTGTGTTATTTCTTTTTACACGCACATCTATTTAACACCACATCTTGACTTTCCTGTTGTCCCTATGTGGGTTCGGGGGCCATAATGTTTTGGGAAACAAAAACAGACCTTCTGTCCTCTAACAAGCACATTGTAAAAGGTGACTAATTAGGGTAGTTTTCTTTGAAGTCAGACTGCACCGGACTGAGATGTGAGGAACCAGGGGTCTGCACACAAATAAGCTAGACCTGTAAAATGAATGTGCACACAAAACAAGTTCCAGAAAAGAACCAAGTTTAGAAGTGGATTTTTTTCAGGAGTTTACAGCCAGTATACATGAAGAAGAGACTTACCTGTTGTAACACTTTCACACCCATTGAATCCACATAGCTCATGGTGGAACAGTCCAGAATAATAAAGTGTACATCCGTCAAGGTGGGTAACTCTCTACTCTCAGAGAAATCTGCAGTGCCCTCGCTGCTTCCAACAGCTGAGCTCGTTGATGCTGCTTCAGTTAATGCAGGATGGACACTACTTCTTGGCTTTCCGTTCATGCTGTTTTCAGTTTCAGGCTCAAGCTCAAGTGGGTTGTTGTCTACAGGGTGCTGCATGAGGTCAAGAAAACATAAAATAAGCAAACTTTGCTGACTGACTGAGAGCAGCGGCTGGCTTCTTCTTCTTCTTCTTCTCTTCCACCTTGTACCTCATCGAAGTGTCGGGGGAAGATGTAATGTTCGTTGATGAGCTCTGTCAAGAGCATTATTAGGACTGATGTTCATTTCTGTAAGGCTGTTCTTAATGCCATCACTCCATCTTTTCCGAGGTCTTCCACTCGCTTTATACCCGTTGTAACGTTTTAGTGTGGCTCGCTGTGGCAGATAGTACCAGGGCATTCTTGTTAAGTGTCCAAACCATTTCATTTGTTGTTCTTTGATGACCTGTAAGACTGGCTTTATTCCTAGCATTCGTCTGATTTCATGATTTTGTATTCTGTCTTTCCTTGAAACTCCTGCAGCTTTTCTAAGGCATTTCATCTCTGTTGTCACAATTTTACGTTCATTGGAGGATGTAAGTGTCCACGTTTGGCACTGATAGCATTTAGCGGCTGGCTAAATGGTTAAAACGCTAGACTCTAAAGCAGGAGACCCAGGTTTGAATCCTCGGTAAGGCTGTGGATTTTTTTTTTCTGTCAGGGGGAAAATAAAATACTCACCTGCACAGTTGTAGCGACAGCACTAACCATGCGGCCGTAAATCCTGAGGTTCAAAGACTCCCCTGTCTGCATCGCAAAAATGGTATAATAAAGGCAGTAACTGACAGTTTGGCTGACTAACTGACCCAGTTTTTTTCTTACTGTTAATGCAGGCTAAAAACCCCAGTTTCTTTCTGATAATTGTAATTATTGTCTTTGATCATAGCCTATTTCAAAATATATACACATACAATCACAAAATATACACATACAATCACAAAATATACACATACAATCACAAAATATACACCTACAATTACAAAATATACACATACAATCATAAAATATACACACACTCACAAAATATACACATACAGTCAGACTGCTACTGGTAAGACTGAAAGTGTAACTTTGCACCGGCTACTGAAGATGGAGATAGAGAGCTTATGGTAATGTCCAAAATTCTGTGATGTTAACTCTTCACTCAACCAAACTCCTGGATTACTCAATTTGGATATACAAAAATAATAAAATGGAACCGCCTTGCCTGCCAGGTAAATTGAACGCTCATTGTCTTGAACACCTGCATGGTCTGGCAAAAAGATGAAGGTTAGATTTAAAAAAAAACACAATAACATTCATCATTACCCTCCCAGGTGATGTCGCTGTCTATACAAATGGCTCTGTGTTAAGGGGCAGACGAAGAACATGCGGGTTCATAGCGAAGGCGAATGAACGTCGCTTGGTAAACAAAGCCTAGCATATAATTTACAACGCTGCTTTCCACTGGCTTGAGAATCAGCTGTACAGACATGTGTCATTGTAACTGACTCACTGAGCATGTTAAGAAAGGTGAAGACAGGCATGCTCCATGCAGAGTGGCAAGCATCACTTCAAAGGTCCCGGGTAGTTGGCATCCTTTGGATATTTTCTCCAGGTCATGCCGGTGTGTTGGGAAATAAGTGAACAGTGCCGAGGCACAGATAGATTATTACCGTCTGAGGAGAATGGCACTGCAATAAGTTACAAGGGGATCTAGCCGACTTTTGCCGCTCAGGGAAAAGGCGAGTCGGATATATACAATCAGACAGTTACTCGAACTCTTTGCTTGCTGCTGAAGATGGGGACAGAGCGCTTATGGGGGTGTCCTGAGTGCTGTGATGTTGATTCTTAATTCAACATTCATTCATCAGCCTGTCAGGCACTGAAATAGAAAACAAATGGACTGAAGAAATGAGGACATCTAAATGAAATCCTAAGATGAACATTGAAGAAACGAGGACATCTAAATGAAATCCTAAGATAAACATTGAAGAGAGAGAATAGCTAAAGGTATATGATCAGATTCTATCAAAGGAATTGCACAGGAAATAACTGAATGGGAAACTGTACTGCAAGCCCAGCATGGTCTTTAATGACACAACACAATTATGCACTCCATCAAATCACACCAAGCTGTTGTTTCCACTATTATTTCACGCAGCTCTCCCTATCTTTTTGAATCCCTTTCTAGCTTTTTTCTCCATGCATTTTTTGGTCTGCCTTTATTTCTACGCCCCTGTGGGTTCTAGTACAAAGCCATTATAGTTATACTATTTTCAGTTTTTCTCAACGTGTGTACTATGCATTGCCAGTGTCTTTTCTCCACCCCTTGGTCTACTGGAACTTGATTAGCTCTCTTCCAAAGTTCTACATTAGTGATTCTACATGCTATTAATTCTCTCTATTCTGCTCAGGCATCAGTTAATAAATGTTTGTAGTTTAATAGTAACTGCTTTAGTTGTTCTTCATGTTTCCGCTTCAAACAGAAGTACTGATTTGACATAAGAATTAAAAATGAGAGGTTAGTATTAGTTCATACTGCTATAGAAGCTCCTCTTGCCTTTTGTGTTCATATTTTAATATCTCTATCAGTTCTCCCATCTTTATCTACAATACTGCCATATTAAGTGTATGGCTCTACATCTTACTGGAAGACCTAGACTTCGCCGACGACATAGCACTCCTGAGTTCAGAACACACAGACGCCCAAGAAAAAATCAATCGACTCCAGAATTTCTCAGAACAAATTGGACTCCAAATGAACACCGCAAAAACAAAAATTCTAGACCTTACCAACAGTTCAGTTGATATCACGCTGAACAACAACAGCCTTGAAAAAGTCATCAGTTTCACTTATCTAGGGAGCAAGATGTCATCTACAGGAGATACCGCACCAGAAATATCATTTAGAATAGCACTGGCATCTAGTGCCTTCAATAAACTGTCTAACATCTGGAAATCAAAGACACTTAGCAAACACACAAAACTCAAGATCTTCAATTCTTGTGTGATTCCAGTACTAACCTATGGATGTGAGAGCTGGAAATCAACGAAAACTCTAGACACAAAATTAGACAGTTTTGAAAATAAATGCCTTAGAAGAATACTAAATTTCAAATGGTCAGATTTCCGAACCAATACACAAATAAGGCAAAAATCCAGGCAAGAGTATGTGTCTAATTTTATACGAAAACGCCGCTGGAACTATGTCGGCCACGCCCTTAGAATGGATAAATCAAGACTTCCTTACCAAGCCCTCATTTGGACACCACAGGGGAAAAGATCTCGTGGAAGACCAAGGGAAACCCTACGTAGAACTATCATCAGAAAAGGCTCGCTCATGGGCCACTCAAACATCCAAGACCTACAACGGATTGCAACGGACCGCCGTGCATGGAGAGTCGCGACCTCTGCCCTATGTGCCGCACTCGACACAAGAGGAAAGACTAACTAACTAACTCTACATCTTGGACTAGGATACCATTAATTAAGAGAAACCATATTACTATTTGCCTGGTTTATTCTCATTATCTTTGTCTTTCCCTTATGGATTTTCAGACCTAGTTGTTATTATCTCGAATCCAGCACACTTTATCTTGCATTTGATCCCATGAGTGGGACAGAAGAGAAATATCACCTACAAAGTCCAGATCAACAAGCTGTTGCGTGTGTTTGCGTGGGTATGAGCATGTGTGTGAGTGGGTGGGTGTGTGTGTTTGGATCATTTACACAAACTCCCTGATATCAGAAAAACTACCTATTTGTTCTATGAAACTCACCACTGTTATATTCACTAACTCTTTCTCATCCTTCTTTTTCTTTCTGTCCAGTTTTCTTTGCTTCTTTTTTAATTCCTTTGGGTCAACTGTCATTTTGTACAAAGAGCTTCTAAAAAACTCAGCATTTGCAAAGAAAAGTGCAGAATCGAATCTGAAAATCTTGATATTAGGTATTTCTTCAGCCTAAAAGAAAGAGGAAACAATAAATGTGATTATAATTCAGGCGATGTCCAAAGTTTAATGGGGGGAACAATTTGAAAACCCTTTTCACAGCATTGGTACATAAGGCAAATAGTGTTAGACCTATCATCATCATCATCATCATGTAGCACAGAGGTTCTCAATCTGTGGGTCACAACCCATTTTAGGGTTGAATGACCCTTTCACAGGGGTCGCCTAAGACCATTGGAAAAACACATATTCATCAAAGTTATGAAGCAGCAACGAAAATAATTGATTGTATGTTTGGGGGTCACCACAACATGAGGAAGTGTATTCGAGAGTCATGAAGCTAGGAAGGTTGAGAGCCACTGATGTAGCGGATCCTTTGCAGAAGGCTGCTTTCATCATAGTCTGCCTGAAAAAAACTCGGTCTTTTATCAGCTTTTCCACCTCATGCACATTCCTACTCAAGGTGGCGCTTGAATCATGTGCCCATCTTCATTTTGTTTGGCCCCTGACACTCCTTCCTGGCACCATGCCATATACTATTATTTTTTTCCCAATCCATCGTGGCATTATGTGGCCAAAATATTTCAGCTTGCGAGACAAGATGCTGTTTTTTAGCCGGTCTTCCTTGATGTTCAGATCTTTTAATCTGTCAGCATTTTTTCTCTTCTTTGTCCATGGTATTCTGAGAATTTTTCTATTGCATTTCAACTCAAAAGCCCATATTTTCTTTAAAAAAAACTGCGAGATAGTCCACGACTCACATCCATATGTTACTACAGGGAACATGCATGCTCTAAAAATTCTGACTTTGATTTTCCTACTAATGTTTAACCATAGACTTTTAATGCTGTTTAATGTTATGCTTATATTTTTATAAATCAATCCATACTCAGTGAGTTATGCCTTTACTTCTCTGGGATTTCCTGTTACCTACCAATCTTCAGGCTCTGTAGGCTTGGATGCGTGGGTCAATTATACATATCTACCTTGATGTGGATTTTAATCCAAGACATTTGGACCAGCATACAAGCATCTAGCTATTGCACTACTATGGCTGCATTTTACTACCAATGAATCATATGTTGTATCCATAATACAGTTGGCGGCAGTGGATCACCAACAAAAACACACACAACACCCTCCCAACCCCTCCCCCCTCCTCTTCCCAACTGGTTATTCATAAATTAAGTTCCCACAATTTATTTTATATGTAATAATCATTCTTCTTATTCTTGAATCCTCTTTTATCGCTTCAGGTGTCGAATGAAGTCCTGCTTCATGCTCTTCTGGGTGATTTGATCACAGACACAACATGGTGCTGTAGAGTTTCTCTGACATTATCTTCCCATTTGTTCTTGGTCTACCTCTTGCTCTATGTCCTTCTCATCTTTTGGTATATGCCTTGTACTGTATAGCATCAGAAGGCATTCTCTCCAATTGGACAAACAATTTAATTTGCTATCTTTGTAAATCATTTAGAATTTGTTCTTTGCATACTTTATCTCGTATGACCTCATTCCTGATTTTACCTCTTCTGGTCACTCCTACAGTCTTTCTCAGACACCTCATTTCCAATAATAATTGAAACAAAATAATTTCATAATTTAAAAATGTATATAATTCCACTGAAATCAGTATCAGTGCCAGAGACAAACCGTTCCACATGGTCCAATTGCCACTGACTGTCAATGTATGCAGTAGCACACTTAAATAGTTCTACAGCAGCATTTGCAGTACATCACAGGGAATCATCGCTCAAAAGTGGTCATACTGTATTCAGTTTTCAGTTGTCACAGTTTTAAGCAAGCCCTTTGCCACATAATGTCATAGAGAAATAATGATTACTTTCTCCTAATGGGGGTGACCATATTTTTTTTTATTTTGATGTTCACATATCATTTGTAAAAACGTCGGTCCAAGATTTCAGCTTACACGACGGAGTACGTGCGTTTGAGCTGACATCTTCTTAAATTAATTTGGGGCAAGCGAAGTGCATGGGCCTTCACAGTAAGCTCAAGGGGGAAAACCATCAAGGAAATGAATGGCACCTTTGCTGTTACAGCTAGTAGCCTTACAATGGAAACTATGGCTGTAACAAGGGCTTTAGCATGGCTTGGTACTCAAAAGTTCACACATGTATGCTTTCTTAGTGACTCTATGAATATGCTTTAAAAAATCCAAGCTGGATTTAGCAGGCAAGAATGGATTTAAGCACTAAGCACTTCACGAATATCTGCCCTAACCTTCATCTTTATGCCAGGTCATGCGGGTGTTCAAGGGAACAAGCGTGTGCAGACTATCTTGCTGACACTGCAGTTGATATGGCTAGCCCAGTATTGGACAGAAGTGATGTTATCAATGCTATACGCTGCACTTACTGTACCGAGGAGCACTTCAAAGAACATGACTCCATATTCCTGTCTAGACTGATGGACATCGGGGTGCAGCCTGGAGCTGCAAGAAATGAACATTTCACTAAGAGGAAAAGAAGTTTCATTAACCAACACAGAACAGGCGTCATCAGTCGTTTTACACTTGTGGAGCTTTTGAGGAGGAGATCAAAGCAACTATGGATCTGTCCGGAGTACTGTGATGATAATCCTTTCTAATCATTAATCACTAACCACTTTGTGTATTTTTTTCTTTACTTTACTTTATCTCATACGTGGTTTTGTCCTTGCTCTGTGTTCCTTGTATTTTTTCAACATGCTTACCACAGACAAAATACAAAGTTGGAAACAGAAATAAAATCCTAGAAATGACTTACAGTTTTATAAACATTCATATCTTTATAGATGTCAGTTCCTGGGACTTGACCAAGCAAACATGAGTAGGGTCTGTAAGAGAAGGCGCACATCAGAACAACAATGATTCAAAAACCTTCATGTTTTCATAGTAATGTGGTAATGCCTAAGAATAGATTGTGATAGCAAAGGGCCCATTTGCATGCCTGCAGACAGATTAGCTTAAAGTTCAAGTTAACAAGATTCTTCTTTTACCACTTCGGGTGTCGAGAGAGAGAAGAGATAAGGTCCTGTTTCGTGCTGTTCTGGCTGCTTCAACCACAGACTCATCATGGAACTGTAGAGTTTCTCTGATGTTATCTTGTTTTTGATCTACCTCTTGCTCCACATCCTTCTCCTCTTTTCGTATATGCCTTGTATGGCACAGCATCAGAAGGCATTTTCTCCAGGTGTGCAAACCATTTGATTTGCTGTCTTTGAATGTAAATTAGAACTGGTTCTGTGCCGACTTTATCTTGTCTGAGCTCATTTCTGATTTTATCTCTTCTGGTACTCCTACTGTCTTTCTCAGACACCTAATTTTCATGGTTACTAATTTGTTTGATGTTTTGTTGTGAGTGGCCATGTCTGACACTGATAGCATAGGGTGGGAATGAATATGTCCTGTATGAAATGTTTTTTTGTGCTGACTGGCATTGCCTTATGCTGTAAGAGGGGCCTAGCAGTCCCAATACTTGGTTAACAAGATCAACTTCATTGCAACAGGTTACCCCAGACAGCCCCGCCACTTTTCAGACAATAGCTAGCCATCTACTGAGAACGTCGCACACAGCACAGATTGCATACCTTTAGTAGCAACCCCCCAGGAATCTCTTGAAAACTCACTTGCGAACTGAACAATGTGTCAGAAAGAATTGAACCCATGACCTTCAGAATGCTTGACCCCTTTGCCACAGAGGTACATGGGGTTAATTGTAGATTTGTACAGACCAAACAGCATTTGACGGGTGACATGGTCAATATCGTGTCGATCGCCGTTATTCTGCATGAAGTTTCTTAGTGCCCACTGTTATGCACATGTCAATCTGGGAGCCCGTGTCAGTTTAAAAATAAATTAGCCTCAGTATTTGAACACATAACCAACAGGCAAGCCTGCTAGCCACAACACTACTGCAGCTCCTATATCATGATTCAATGGAGATTACAATTCAACATGCTGGATCCCATGCATGGATTCCACGGCCCCATTTTTGGCGGGAAAAGAGACCCACTGCATTTTAACAGGTATGTCAAAATAAAAAAAAATAAAAAAGGTGACTGATTAGGGGTGTTTCCTTCAAATAAAAAAAGGTGACTGATTAGGGGTGTTTCCTTCAAAGTAGGAGTGTATCTGCCAGTGAAGCACGGACCCAACAATATGTATACAAATAAGCCAGATGTGTTTTTACCGGCTGTGCATACAAAACTAAAGTTCTGGAAAAAGACCAAGCTGAGAAGTGGACAAACAACCAGAATTTTCTGCCAGAGTTTACACTCAGTTAATGCTATGAAGAAGAGGATACTGGATGCTAGTAACTAAATTGACCAGTGAATTAAAGATGCTAGTTTTCAAAGAAACCGATGATGTCTTAGTCTCCAGGGTTAAGGTGAGCAGTGGATCAGATGCCTAGCCTTCTCAGACAAGGACTAAAAATTGGATATCTCAAATACACACTGACTAGGTATGTTGCGTATCCTTTACAGGACGTTGCAGAACCAACCCCAGCAGCCCCTGGCTGTTGTGTGGTTTCTCTAGGCAAATTTAAGCCCAGTAGTTTGCCATTGCTTTCTGGACGGTCGGCCCCCTGATACCACAGTCAAAACCAACGCAAGGCGCATGGCCCACAGCTGGGATCGAACCCAGCACCCCGGCATTAAGAAGCTTTCATACTGACTTAGCCACAGAGCCGACAGATACACACTGCAGATGTTCAAAGCTAACTGCTAATTTGAAATCATAAACAGTAGGTTGTAGAGAACTCTGCCCTGGTAAAATGTTAAAATTATCCAGATTTTTAAAGTAATAAATTATGTTAATAAAATTAACATAAAGAGAAGGTCACACATCTTGAATGATGGCAAAGCTTATTGATAAACTCTCTATCTTACTCTTCTCTCTCCTTTCTCTGTGTCTCTGTCTGTCTCTCTGTATATATGACTATCTCTATCTCTTCTATTTTCCTATTCCTCTCTCTCTCTCTCTCTCTCTCTCTCTATCTCTCTCTGTATGTTCCTCTTTCCTCTATATTAAGGTCTGTCTCTCCCTGCATTTGTCTTTTTCTCTCTTTGCGTGTTCTCTTCTTGTGCCTGTCCGTCTCTCTCTCTCTCTCTCTGTGTGTTTACGTCTGATTCTCTGTTTCTCTCATACACACAGAGACACATACATTGGGTATGAGCCAACTCAACAATGAACAATGCACTAGTCTTGTACATACAGAATGAATAATTACCTCTGAGATCGCATGATGACTGTCAACAATGCAAATCCAACACCAATCAGCAAGCCTAAGTCAACATCCAACAAACAAGTTGCAGTAAACGACACTAACCAAACAGCCTGCAGAATACAACATCCAACAAACAAGTTGCAGTAAACGACACGAACCAAACAGTCTGCAGAATACAACATCCAACAAACAAGTTGCAGTAAACGACACTAACCAAACAGTCTGCAGAATACAACATCCAACAAACAAGTTGCAGTAAACGACACGAACCAAACAGTCTGCAGAATACAACATCCAACAAACAAGTTGCAGTAAACGACACGAACCAAACAGTCTGCAGAATACAACATCCAACAAACAAGTTGCAGTAAACGACACGAACCAAACAGCCTGCAGAATACAACATCCAACAAACAAGTTGCAGTAAACGACACGAACCAAACAGCCTGCAGAATACAACATCCAACAAACAAGTTGCAGTAAACGACACGAACCAAACAGCCTGCAGAATACAACATCCAACAAACAAGTTGCAGTAAACGACACGAACCAAACAGTCTGCAGAATACAACATCCAACAAACAAGTTGCAGTAAACGACACGAACCAAACAGTCTGCAGAATACAACATCCAACAAACAAGTTGCAGTAAACGACACGAACCAAACAGCCTGCAGAATACAACATCCAACAAACAGTGAATGATACTAACCAACCACACTGCCTGCAGCCTACAACATCCAACAAACAGTGAATGATACTAACCAACCACACTGCCTGCAGCCTACAACATCCAACAAACAGTGAATGATACTAACCAACCACACTGCCTGCAGCCTACAACATCCAACAAACAGTGAATGATACTAACCAACCACACTGCCTGCAGCCTACAACATCCAACAAACAGTGAATGATACTAACCAACCACACTGCCTGCAGCCTACAACATCCAACAAACCAGACATACAAAACGAATATATCTGCAAGCTCTTCTTCTTCCTCTTCATCTTCTTCTCCTCCTTCTCCTTCCCCTCTTCCTCCTCCTCCTTCTTGTTCTTCTTTTTCTTAAAGTCCATGACATGTGGCGTTGTTAGTCATGTCTATCCACAACTTTCTGTCGTGAACTTCGAAGCAACTCTGATATCAGCATGTTAGCACAGTAAAACAAACAAAAAAAAGCAAAAGTTCATTACCATGCCTTGAGGCATTTTGGTGTGAAAAAACAACAACAGAAAACCCATATTTTTACAGACCAATCGGCACTCGGTGGGTAATGTGGTCAGTTTTACGCCGACCGTCTTTACTTCCCAAGGACAGCCATCCTGGTACCCATTTGAGCCTGGGTCGACCTATTTTGGTGAAGATGGTACAAATAAGCCTTTTGGAATCAGGTATATGGTGTTAAAACCCATATTTGTATAGTCTAAACTGCACTGATGAATAAAATGACATCAGCCACCTTTATTTCCCATGACATTTGCTGGTACCCATTTTAGGCTCAGTTGACCTGGGAGGTTACATCAATGTTTAAAAAACTGCTGGTTTATATGGTAAAGAAATAATAGCAGAAGGCATGGTACCAGGAAGGAAGGGACAGGGGCCGACCAACACAAAGATGGGCACAAGATATAAGTGACTCCTTGGATATGAAAGTGTATGAGATGGGAGAGCTGGCGAGAGACCGAGTTTCTTTCGGGCAGACAGTGATGAGAGCGAGGACGTCCTGCAAAGTCCATCAAAGATGATGATGATAAGCCCCATATTTTTTATAGACTTGTTCTTCTTACAGTCGATGCTGTATAACACTGATAGTTAAGTCTATACACAACTTTTTATAGACTAGTTGGTACTCAAGTGTGCCATACCACACCTCCCCTGTCAGCACTGGGCCACATTTCTGGGCACACACACATACGAAAAAGTTAAAAACAAAATTTTAAAAAGACCCACTGCCCTTGAACAATCACTTTGTAAAAGGCATAAATTTAAATAATTTTGTGAAATTGGATGTCTTTAACAAAAAGCACAGATATCGCAGCCTAGCTGTGAAATAATTTTAAGGGCAAATAAAGAAGTATCATGCCACCTGTTTTTACCTCTGGCAACATTTCCTGGTACTAAGTCTACACAGGGTTGGCCTTTTAAGGAGTCGTAGAGCAGTGATATGAGAGTCACTACAGGGATGACACTTGCGCCAAACCATGTTATATTTCCACCACAGAAAAATGGACGCACATACACTCCAGATCCAAAATGGAGATGGCCATCGGCATTGGAACTCTGAGCTTGCTGCTGATAATGGTGATAGTATGCTTATGAGAATGTCTCAAAAGCTGTGATGTCAATTCTTAATTCAAAATTCAACAAGCAGCACAACTAAGGGTACTCACAAAGTCAATAAATGAAATGCTCCATAAAGCCCTGAGGTCTGAAAACTGCATGAACATACCCTTGAGTGCCACAAGGATAATGCTGGCCAACACACACTGTAGACAACAATTATGGTGTCACCAAATTAAAAAAAATAATCATACTACAATTTCCATATATTAACAATAACAAAACAAAACAAAATTATTATTTAGCACAGACAAAATTAAAAAGTAAGTAAAGGCAACATATAAAGACATGAAATGTTGAGTTCTTCAGGAGAGAAAGCTAACAGATACATATGAAATAAAAACAGGTGTGCGACAGGGATGTCCTTTGTCGCCTCTCCTATTTTTATTGGCAATAGATTTGTTTATGAAGACAGTAACTGCTAACATGCAATATTTTTTCGGGGGGGGGGGGGGGGGGGGGGGGGGGGGTTGTTTTGTTTTTAAAAGGATCCTTTACTTTACTTTACTTATTTTCCCAATGCACCAAAGACACACAAACACACATGTGAATGTTTACTTCAAACAGGTCAAAATAAAGTATTACTTGTCAGCAACTACACAATGTTCTTTTTCTACTTAATGTTCAAACAAAATTCTTCTTTTTTAGCATCCTCCAGCTGTAAATTCCTATAGAAAGTTCTGGTTGTTTGTCCATTTCTGGACTTTGGTCTTGTTCCAGAACTTGAGTTTTGTGAGCACATCCATTTGACAGATCTAACTTATTTGTATGGTCCCTAGCCTCTAAGGGAGAGACACACTGACTTCGAAGGAAACAATCTTAAATAATCTCCTATTACGAAGGAGGTAGTGGGTCTATTCTTATTCTGCCCAAAACGGAGCATGAAACCCACATTAGGAAAACATAATTTTCCAAAACAAGATTTAGCACCTCAGTGACATTGGTGTCGTGGCAACGATATCTGTTGATACTTACATTTGGTAGAGTTTTAAAATATGGACCAATGACAAGCAAAACCACTATAAGCACTGAACTTGACACCAGCCCTGTCACCTAGAGACATAAATGAACAAAACAGATTAGCAATTATAAGCAATATCCTATTGCTATAATAATCTACTTATCTTAAACAGTACCTCAACTACATCATTAAGCACCTTGGTGGATACTTTAACTATATCTACATCTGTTACATCACCTTCATTAACTCTTTAAGTCCGAAAAAACGTCATCATACGTTCATAGGTTCCAACTTAGAAGCCCAATTAACACATGATGCATTGATTTTAGTCTCTCTTTACTACCCCTTGGATCTGTGATGCTAAACCCCCTGGGACTCAAAGAGTTAAGTGCTTTGGTGACTGCAGGAGAGTTCATGCTTCTCCACACTCTTCTGTATCCAACAGCATGTATTAATTCATGAGTTGAACTTTTCCCTGCCATGACAAGAGGCTGTCAACAGTCTTCTTTCGCTTTTGTCTATCTCTCTTTCCACAAATTCTTTCCACAACCTTCTGTCTCATGCTTTGTCAATCAACTCTGACACAGATGATCCCCCATGCCATGATGTCAAACCGTTCAGCATCTTCTCTCTTGGTCTACCTCTGCCTCCCTTCCTCTCCAAGTTTCCTACTGTCAAGATGTACTCCAGTTTTCATCTTCTCATTGCATATATATATATATATATATATATATATAAATATATATATATATATATATATATCATCATCATCATCATCAGGTACCTTGCCGACTGGCGTGGGCGATCATGCCTCTCCATAATCCGCGATCTCCTGCAGCATGTATCAGTTCGTGTGCCGACACACCTCCATGCCATGCATCAAGACTGTCAAGCATCTTCTCTCGTTGTCTTCCTCTATCCCTCCTTCCACAGATCTTTCCAGTGGTCACAACATGTTCTATTTTCCCTCTTTTCATAACATGGTCGAAAAATGATGACTGTCTCCTTCTGATGTCAGTGATAAGTTGTCTTCGGGCTCCCGCCTCTTTTAAAACCTCTTGGTTGCTCTTTTTGGCTGTCCAAGGTATTCTAAGCTTTATATATATATATATATATATATGCCTGCAGAATGTATCCACAAACAGAAAGCTACATTTTCAATTCTTTCTTGTTCTGATTAACTTTCCGTGGTGTAGTGGTCAAGCCATTTGCCTCACATTCTGAAGGTCATGAGGTCATTTCAAGGCTGCATTGTTTGGCTCATGAGTCAAATTTTTACTGAGATCCCTGGGGAACATCGCCGAAGCTTCAGTGTTCATGCTTTGTGGGATTCTCTAGGCAGGTGGCTTGCCCTTGTGCAGACAGAAACAGAACCATTTGGGATAAAAACCTGGTGCAATGAAGTCCATCCTCTCACCCTTTAACTTTGACCTATTTACACAATTATTTGTTCCATCATACCTGAGTTTTACCTCCCACATTTTCTTGCACTAAACTTCTGGACAGAGAAACAGCCGATACAAAGGATGAAAAAAATGATGAAGCAATGTTGCAAATGCCAAATGCCAGCAACTCCTGTGAAAGAAATTACAAGTTAAATTATGTTAGACTTTAGATTATAAATTTTACAGAACAATTCTAAAATTTATTGGATGGATAACAAAAACAGACCTATCCAACAAGAGTAGCTTATTATCATATTGTAAAATCTACACAACACATAACTCTGACATCAACAAAATGTACCATGGTACAGCATTATAAAGTATAATTTCTTCAAAATACAGAAGAACCTCGCTTAACGAGCACCTCTCATAACGAGTAATTTGCATAACAAGCAAAACAAATTGTAAAAGAATGACTCGCTTAACAAGCGATGTTTCGCATAACGAGTGGCGAGGAGAAGGGAAGTCCAGTAGCATCGTCGCTTGTGATCACACATTTTCTCAAACTTGTGTTATATTGTGAAATATATACAAGAATCCTCCAGGCCTACAAGATGTCCTCCCTGATGAATTTAGGTTAATCAAGATCCAGTTTCTGCCTCCCAACACCACTCCGTTACTCCAGCCAATGGACCAGCAAGTTATTTCTAACTTTAAGAAGCTCTACACTAAAGCACTCTTCATGCATTGTTTTCAGGTGACTGAAGGGACCAACCTCACTCTCAAAGAGTTTTGGATAAAATCACGTCCACATCATTGCCTGCCTCAAGATGACCGACACGGCAGGGGAAGGGGTTACCAAGAGAACCCTAACTTCTTTTTGGAGGAAGCTTTGGCCGGAGAGTGTTGTCGATTTGTGACTTTGAGGGGTTCGAGACAGTACCTGTGGAATCTGTAGTCAACGAGGTTGTGTCTTTGGCCACTATCATGGGATTGTAGGTGGATAACAGTGAAATCGAAGAGTTTGTGGAAGAGCACAGCCAAGAGCTGACTATAGAAGAGCTTATGGAGTTGCATTCTGTTTCACAGCGAGACGTTTTGGAGGAAAGTTTGTCAGAGGAGGAGGAGGGGAAGGTAACAGAAAAGCAACAATCTTCTGGCGAAATAAGAAAAATTCTGAAAGCATGGGAAACTGTTGCTTCTCACAGTGAGAAGCATCACCCTAATAAGGAAGTGGCTATGCGCACTGCAAATTTATTGATAACGCGGTGTCGCATTTTCGCCAAACTTTTGAAGTGTTGACATAAACAAATGTCTCTGGACATCTTTCTAGTAAAAAAAAAATAATTAGCTATGTATCATAATTATTTCAACTTTTTTTCTCTGCAAATCAAATTCGCATTCCATGTGGGTTCGTTCCGCGTTTGAAAAAAAAAGATGAAGAGGATTCACTCTCCTTAAATATGTATATAATTTTCTTTGAATAAATGTTATAGTATAACTAATACATAGCAATTTGTGAGTATTTTTTTCGACACGGAACGCATTATCGTATTTTACATTAATTTGTATGAGAAAAATTGTTTCGCATAACGAGTGTTTCGCTTAACGAGTATGAGTCTGGAATGAATTATGCTCGTTAAGCGAGGTTCCTCTGTAAAGGCACAGGAACATTTTCATAGGGAAAATGTCCATGGTACAGCATAATAGAGTATAATTTCTTCAACATAAAGGTCTAGTAAAATTTTCCATGACAGAGCTTAAAACAGTTTAATTTCTCTAATGTTTACTTCTATTAGTAACAAAATGTTTCATGGTATAGTTTTATACAACACAATTCGTGCCATGAATCAGTATCATGCAGTACAAACAACTACTCCAGTTCCAAGCAACAGAAAGTGCCATGACACAGCATAATATAGTATAATTTCTTTAACATTATTAGCAACAAAATGTGACATGAATCGGTATCATGCTACACAATTTCTCTAATAAGACTAGCAACATAATGTGCTATGAATTAGTATCACATTGTATAGTTTCTCTAAATGTTGAGACCAGCAACAAAATATCCCACGGTACAGATTAATACAGTATAATTTATTTAACCTATCTATTAGCAATGAAATGTGCCACAGTACTCGTAATACAGTATAATTTATTTAACTTATGATCTATTAGCAACAAAATGTGCCAAGAATCAGTATCAGGACGTACAATGTTGCTCATATTTAAGTTTCCTAGAAATAAATTGTGCTATGGTACAGAATAATAATGTATAATTTATTTAACTTATCTTTTAGCAACAAAATGTGCCATAGTACTCATAAAACCGTATAATTTATGTAACTTATGATCTATTAGCAACAAAATGTGCCACGAATCAGTATCAGGACGTACAATGTTGCTGACATTCAAGTCTCCCAGCAACAAACTGTGCCATGGTAGAGTACCCAGTGAAGCACTTACCTGATTTGCATCCACTTCGTAGTCATGTTTTCTGGCAAATATTTTGGCCATTGACACAGAAATGGCAAATGCAACAATGGCAATAGCAATAGCATCAGTAACAACTTCTGACAGACATGCAAATGCTGCCAGGTTGGGAGATGGAATCCTGTATGAAATATACATTTTTACAAAAACAAATTAAAATTTCATGCCTAGTAATGATTTATTTAAAACAAAGTTTAAAAATTGTTTTAGAAAGTTCATTTATGATTTAATGTATCCCGGAATGCTAGCTAAGTTGGTAAAACCAGCTGTTAGTTAGTTAGTTAGTTAGTTGGGTTATCATCATTGCACTCCGGACATGTCCATAGGTGCTCAGATCCTCCCCTCAGTATGAATCCCAACGTCCGATGGCTAATAGTACCATTTCTATGTTGATAAACAAGTCTTCTGACGTGTCCGGTGTGCGTCTCGTTTTTTGCTGTGCCGATCTTAATTCCCAAGTCTGCCATTCTGGCGAGTGATGTGGATTCACTGCCACCAAAGTCCTCTATCCTTCCCATTTCTCTGAGGGCATTGATAATATCAGCATGATCCATAGGCTGACCGTCGGTAGTGATAGCGGATCCAGCCAACCTGTCAGCTCTTTCATTTCCATCGACGCTTGCGTGTCCCGGAACAAAAATAAAGGTGACTCCTCGCACAGTGGACTTCTGAATTGATTCAAGCCATTGTCTTCGCACTGAACCTGCCTGAACCCTCCGGATCATACTCATTGAATCACTGAGTATACATATGCGGGTGTATTTTTGTGTTTCAAGCCAGGCAAACGCTTGCGTCACTGCCATCACCTCCATCGTCATGCTGCTGGTTGTCATGGAGAAGGCGCCGTTGGCTTCTTTGACTGTTCTGCCCGCTGAGCGTGCTGTAAATGCCCATGCGCTTCTTCTTTGGCGTATAACTGATCCGTCTGTATAGATTAGTGCATCTGCTTCGTCTGAATTTTCACCGATGAGAGCGTTGACCTCTGCATTAACAGCAACAGGATTATCTTCTCTACATCGCCTGTTGAGTGTGACAATACAGGAAAATGTACAAATAAACGCCTGAGGCACAGGTATCCATTCTGCACCAGGTATGATGTCGGTTAGGCTGCATATTTGCCTAATAACATCTTCTGCCCGACCTAGCCACGATTTTCCCCTCTTCAGTCTGTCGCCCTTTTCACTAAAAAGCGCTTGATGCAGTGGGTGTTTCTTATCAGCACATATTTTGAGGTATGCCCGAGCCCTCCACATCCTGATCCTTTGGTTCATTGTTGGAAAGTCAAGTAGATACCTCATTGCTCCACAAGATGTGTCTCTTGTACATCCCAAAATAATACGCATGGCTTCATTTTGCACCTTCTCGAGTCGTTCAATCTGGGTAGCACTGACAGTGAGGATGGCCAGAGCGTATTCAATGGGGGAAAGGACCAGACGATAGAATAGAAGCACCAGCAGTCTTTGCTCGATATTGGAAGCAGCCATAATCCTCATTGCAGATAGACCTTTGCGTGCTTTTGTTATCGCATGGTCAACGTGTTCCCTGAATGACAAGCTGCGATCGAACCTCACCAGCTGTGCGGTGACCAGATAAAAAAAAAAAACTTGTGGTCCAAGTTCATGCTTGGGGGTAGGCAGAAAAGCCACATTTTTCCCAGATTTATGGTATCTGTCATGGAATCAAGGCTGAAGGGTTGTGATATCAATAGTACTGAGCCAAAGGGTTTACAACTCATGGTTTGTAAATTAGGGGGAAAAAAAAGATAAAATGTAGAAACAAGAGGTCTGGTAGGCTGGCTAAAGTATACAATGAAGCAAATGAGAGGTTTGATAGACTGGCTAAATAATACATTGAAGCAAATGAGAGGTCTGGGAGACTGACTAAAGAATACACTGAAGCAAATGAGAGGTCTGGTAGAATGGATAAAGAATACACTGAAGCAAATGAGAGGTCTGGTAGACTGGCTAAAGAATACACTGAAACAAATGAGAGGTCTGGTAGAATGGATAAAGAATAAACTGAAGCAAATGAGAGGTCTGGTAGAATGGATGAAGAATACACTGAAGCAAATGAGAGGTCTGGTAGAATGGATAAAGAATACATTGAAGCAAATGAGAGGTTTGATAGACTGGCTAAATAATACTTTGAAGCAAATGAGAGGTTTGATAGACTGGCTTAATAATACATTGAAGCAAATGAGAGGTCTGGTAGAATGGATAAAGAATACACTGAAGCAAATGAGAGGTCTGGTAGAATGGATAAAGAATACACTGAAGCAAATGAGAGGTGTTGTAGAATGGATAAAGAATACACTGAAGCAAATGAGAGGTCTGGTAGAATGGCTAAAGAATACACTGAAGCAAATGAGAGGTCTGGTAGAATGGATAAAGATTACACTGAAGCAAATGAGAGGTCTGGTAGAATGGATAAAGAATACACTGAAGCAAATGAGAGGTCTGGTAGAATGGCTAAAGAATACACTGAAGCAAATGAGAGGTCTGGTAGAATGGATAAAGAATACATTAAAGCAAATGAGAGGTCTGGTAGAATGGATAAAGAATACACTGAAGCAAATGAGAGGTTTGGTAGAATGGATGAAGAATACACTGAAGCAAATGAGAGGTCTGGTAGAATGGCTAAAGAATACATTGAAGCAAATGAGAGGTCTGGGAGACTGGCTAAAGATTATACTGAAGCAAATGAGAGGTCTGGTAGACTGGCTAAAGAATACACTGAAGCAAATGAGAGGTCTGGTAGAATGGATAAAGAATACACCGAAGCAAATGAGAGGTCTGGTAGAATGGATAAAGAATACACTGAAGCAAATGAGAGGTCTGGTAGAATGGATAAAGAATACACTGAAGGACAAATGCAACAATGGCAAAAGCAATAGCATCAGTAACAACTTCTGACAGACATGCAAATGCTGCGAGGTTGGGAGATGGAATCCTGTATGAAATATACATTTTTACAAAAACAAATTAAAATTTCATGCCTAGTAATGATTTATTTAAAACAAATTTTAAAAATTGTTTTAGAAAGTTCATTTATGATTTAATGTATCCCGGAATGCTAGCTAAGTTGGTAAAACCAGCTGTGCGGTGACCAGATAAAAAAAAAACTTGTGGTCCAAGTTCATGCTTGGGGGTAGGCAGAAAAGCCACATATTTCCCAGATTTATGGTATCTGTCATGGAATCAAGGCTGAAGGGTTGTGATATCAATAGTACTGAGCCAAAGGGTTTACAACTCATGGTTTGTAAATTAGGGGGGAAAAAAAGATAAAATGTAGAAACAAGAGGTCTGGTAGGCTGGCTAAAGTATACAATGAAGCAAATGAGAGGTTTGATAGACTGGCTAAATAATACATTGAAGCAAATGAGATGTCTGGGAGACTGACTAAAGAATACACTGAAGCAAATGAGAGGTCTGGTAGAATGGATAAAGAATACACTGAAGCAAATGAGAGGTCTGGTAGACTGGCTAAAGAATACACTGAAACAAATGAGAGGTCTGGTAGAATGGATAAAGAATAAACTGAAGCAAATGAGAGGTCTGGTAGAATGGATAAAGAATACACTGAAGCAAATGAGAGGTCTGGTAGAATGGCTAAAGAATACACTGAAGCAAATGAGAGGTCTGGTAGAATGGATAAAGAATACATTGAAGCAAATGAGAGGTCTGGTAGAATGGATAAAGAATACACTGAAGCAAATGAGAGGTTTGGTAGAATGGATGAAGAATACACTGAAGCAAATGAGAGGTCTGGTAGAATGGCTAAAGAATACATTGAAGCAAATGAGAGGTCTGGGAGACTGGCTGAAGAATATACTGAAGCAAATGAGAGGTCTGGTAGACTGGCTAAAGAATACACTGAAGCAAATGAGAGGTCTGGTAGAATGGATAAAGAATACACTGAAGCAAATGAGAGGTCTGGTAGAATGGATAAAGAATACACTGAAGCAAATGAGAGGTCTGGTAGAATGGATAAAGAATACACTGAAGGACAACTACATCTTCTTATCAAATACAACTAAAAGATTAAGATGATACAAATGACAAAGAGTGTTCTTAAAAACAGACTGACTATTGTCTGTTTGAAAGTCTTCTCTTTCTGCCTTTCGACCCTCAGTGGAGTATCAGGGCTTTTAAACTAAAATGTTACAAGAAGATTCTTAGAGTATCATAGATCAAGAAGATGAAAAATAATGACATTTTTTTTTCAAAATTAAAGGGACTGGCTCATTCTTCATTTTCTGCATTTAACCTTCTTATTCTTAGCATTCTGGAGTAACTTTACTTCCAAGATACATTAATTTTAAGTTACTCCAGATGGAGATTCTGAAAAGGATGTAACATCAAGAAAAAACAAAGCAAATCAAGCATTTGCTATGCTTAACAACATATGGAAGTCAAAGGGATTTAGTTTGAAGGCAGAATATACAGGAACAACATTTTAGGAATACTATTATACAACAGTGAATGTTGGAAAATGACAGCGGGAATTACACCTAAATGTGAGACTTTTCAAAATAAATGTTTATGGAGAATTCTACGAATATTCTTTCTTCCCCCTTTTCCCCACAATGGGGCACTGGAACCCACATGAGGAAATTTCCCTGTAAGTCTTTCAGCTCCAAAAACATAGAATGTGTGAATGGATTTACTCACACACACCAATTAACATTTTATTATGCTTGTACATTCTGTGTTCAGTCAGGGTGTACTAAAACAAGCAAAAACACATTTGTGATGTGCATTTGGGCCCTCCGGATGTAGTATACCCATTACGTTGTTCACTTCACAACAGACTCAGTGGGGCATCAATGATACCCTTCTGGAATGGAAACAGTTAAAAGGTCAAACGTCATGTTGTATTTTAAAGCTAGGATGTAACATCTGTGCTTGTTGGTGGAACATATTCAATTTCAGCAAAACTTTAATTAGTCACCTCATATGACCAGCTTGTTAGGGGGAAGTAAGTCTAATTTTACCCTAGAATAAGAACACAAACAAGGAAAAAAACTGGCTACAAAATTAATTTAAAAAAAAATAATTTATGTTTATTCAAAACTGTAATATTTTGGCTATATATGTATTATATGCCATAACGATTTGAAGAGAACAGTAATGAAGAGTGTGGTTCCTGAAAAAAAAAGAAAAGAGGCAAGGGTCAACATCATAAAGGAATTTGCAGGATATCATGGATGCACTGGGCATGAAACTTCATAAGGTGGGAAAGTTGTCAAGAGACAGAGTACCTTTCTAGTCTGCCAGGATGGAGCAGTTCTGCAAAGAACCTGCTACATGATGATGATGGAGTATGTCCTCAACCAATCATCCTTTCTCCTACTGTAGGCAGCTGACCCAGTACCCAGTATCATTTCATCTATGTTTGAAATCTTTTGCCTGCTCCATTCCCTTTCAGTTCAGGTAATTCCAAAATTATTGCTTCAGGGCTCGGTAGAGGAGGTGAAGAGGTGACCAAGACAGACCTAGATACAGAATATTGCTGAGGGGATATACCTCAAACAGGCGAATGTCAAGTATGACAGAGGTGTAGGGAACTGATCAGATAGTCAACAGTAACAAATGAGTGTAGGGAACTGATCAGATAGTCAACAGTAACAAATGAGTGTAGGGAACTGATCAGATAGTCAACAGTAACAAATGAGTGTAGGGAACTGATCAGATAGTCAACAGTAACAAATGAGTGTAGGGAACTGATCAGATAGTCAACAGTAACAATGACACAAAGCATTATTGGACTATGGTGATGATTCTGAATTTAAAATGTCAATCCTATAGTGTTTCTTTTCCTCACCATCTCTGCTGTCCTGACTGAATCGTTAACTTTACCTGCTAAAAGAAATGTTAAGAAATGTTAGCGTTTAAACTGCCAAATAAGAAGAATGTTAACTTTATGTCTACCTTTCAATACAAACAAGACTTACCCAACAGGAATCTGACCCACAATCCTAACTTTATACTCCTCTTCTAATCTGACAAAATAGGATATTACAGTTCCAAGAACAACCTGTAAACACAACAATTAAATAAAAGCTTTTAAAACAGAGGCATATAGTTACACAAGAAGTACCGAATCTATAATTTCTGGATGTGACATGTACAGTACAACAAGAGACTTTGTGATCTGTGTCATTCAGTGGAAATTTTTTTTTATTTTTTTTTATTTGAGCTTCATTATTTGTTTATTAAACTCTATACAAATGCACCTGTTAAAATATGGCGAGTAACAGAAATTCCATGGCCTGATGAAATGGCAAGTAACAGAAATTCCATGGCCTGATGAGATATGGATAGTAACAGAAATTCCTTGGCCTGATGAGATATGGCAAGTAACGGAAATTCCATGGCCTGATGAGATATGACAAGTAACAGAAACTCCATGGCCTGATGAGATACAGCTAGTAACAGAAATTCCATTGCCTGATGAGATACAGCTAGTAACAGAAATTCCATTGCCTGATGAGATAGGACAAGTAACATAAATTCCATGGCCTGATGAGATACAGCTAGTAACAAATATTCCATTGCCTGATGAGATACGACAAGTAACATAAATTCCATGGCCTGATGAGATAGAGCTAGTAACAGAAATTTCATGGTTGAGTAAGCACAGCAGGAGTCACCTGATAATCAGAAGTTCCCCTGTGCTGAATGTTTCAGCCTCTTTAACTTCCTGACATTCTCAGGGAATGGGCCAAACCTGGTTCACAATGTGTGGGTTAGGTTTCAGATCAGTCTCCTGTTGTGCGAACTTAATTTGCTGATAAATAAACATAGGCCCACTGCTGTTGACATTCACCCCTTATAACAGGTCCATCTGGCAGCCAAGGTCATTGAAAAAAAAAAAATCCCACTCCAGGCAGATTTGAACACATGAACTTTGGGCCCGCAGGTAAAGGTCTAGCAGTTACATAACGGTGGATTCCACTTGGGTATAATACAGACAATAGAACATCACATATAAGAAAAACAGTAAATTGTGGAGTATTAAAGAAACCCAGTATAACATAGGATATTAAAAACACAGTAAGGTGAGTCTGATGGTGTGATAGAATCACTAATGTAGAGCTGTGGGAGAGAACTAAGCAAGCTCCAGTGGACCAAGAGGTGGAGAAAAGACGCTGGCGTTTGATAGGACACATATTCAGAAAACTGGAGAAAAACATAACTAGAATGTCTTTGCATTGGAACCCACAGGGGCATTGGAATAAAGGAGGGCCAAAAAACACAAGGAGAAGAGAGCTGGAGAATGAAGTTATAAAGATGGGGAGGACAGGGGGAGAGCTGCATGCGATAGCAAAGGATAGAACAACTTAGCGTGAGTTGGTTGAGGGCCAATGCTCCATTGGGGGCTAGAAAAGCAGAAGAAGAAGAAGGAGGTGAGTCTACTAGAAACACGTCACAAAGGATAGTAATAAGCAAAACTGCATTTAATAAAATAAATAAAAATTTATCCAAAAAATCCCTGTCACTGGAGGTATTACAAACAATTCTTGCATTGAACCAGTTTTAACAAATGGCTATCGAACCTGAAAAATTAGTATGAAAGCAAAACTAAACCTATTCAAGGCCTCAAAGGCGGGGTTTTACAAAAGAATACTTATTTCATTTGACAGTCAAAAACAATATCTGAAATGCTTTGTAAGAAGTTAACACACAAAGACAATTTATCACATATCAGAAAGATGCAGTCATCCTTTCTGGCCACAGTATGAGAAGAAAAAACCCAGAATTATGTTGAGACCACCCACACACACACAAAATTATTATAAGAGAGAAAAGGGAAGACAATGAGAGGAAATTCTGGTCAGCCTAGTTGTTGGCTTGGAAAGGTGACAGAATGTCAATTGATACAAACTTTTGAATACATGAAGTTGGAAACAAGCATAAACACATATGCCAGTGGGCAAAGTCCCTCATTTTGATGATGGCAAAATGTTTCCTGTTTGAAAAAATTAAAAAAAGGGGGTTTACTTACAACAATAAGATCCACAGGTACAGGCATTTTCAGTTTAGGTTTAATCTTTGGGTTATTGTTGATAAATTCTTTCACAATCACCAGGATAACCATACAGACAATGGATGCAATAAATGTGATGGCATTTGTCTTTGGCAAATTCACAAAGATGTCTCTGTAGGACTGATATGAAAACAATTCATTAGACACCTGTACATTTATTAAAGTAAAAAAGTAAAGGACCCTTTTCCATGCTTTTAGGCGTATAGGGCATATAGGGCTAGACCTATATTTTATAGACCATCGTCACAAGATGGGTGATGTAATCAGCATCATGCCGGCTGCCTTTACTTCCCAGGACTGCACCGGGTGCCAACTCAAGGCTGGGTCAACCTGGGAGTGAAGGTCATTTTTTAAAAATGTCCGGCTCCGCCATGGAGTGAACCCACCACCTTCCAATCTGCGGCGCGCGTCTAGCCGCACTGCCACAGCAACTCCCATACATTTATTATCTACACTATAAACTCGTTGTGCAGCGTCCGTGGCTTAGGCCTTGCGATTCAGACGTGTAATTTTAAGGTACCACGATCGAAACCCACTGCTGGCTGCGTGGATTTTTATCATGGTATGGGGCATCGCAGGTCGACCCAGCCTTAAATGGGTACCAGGATGGATGTCCTGGGGAAGTAAAGACGGCCGGCGTAATGCTGACTACTTTACCCACCTAGTGCAGATTGGTCTGTAAAAATATGGGGTGCTCTTCTCATATGCCCGACGCCCCTGAGGCGTGAAAAGGGATCTTTACTTACTTACTTACTTATAGACTCATGTAGTATGTAATATCTCTTGCTGTCTTTGAGAACAAGTGAACAGCAATATTGAAATGTTAAAAAAGCCATCATGGCCTAGAGCAGTGTTCCTCAACATTGTTAAACCTGCAGCCCCTTAAAACAGAGGAACTTCCTTCGTGGCCACCCTGACAGCTAACTAAACAGACTGATTGATGTTCAACCCCACCAGGACATCACAACAAGCAATAAACACCCGGTGACACAAAATACCACCATTTGAATAAGGATAACACGAGGACTGGAAACCCCGTTCAACTGAAAGACACTGAAAGAAAAGCAAATATAGTTAGTAGTGTTCCTGTTAAATTTAATGTCAAAAAAATTACGATCTTCAGCTAATGCTGCATCTGCTGCTGCTCACAAGTTTAAAAATCTATGTGGTTGTGCAAGGTTTTAAGGATCCGTACCTGTTTTATTTTCATCTCTGATGTGATAATCCTACAGACTATAATCCTGGAAGAGAGTGTTGAGCTGAGTTGATTCAAGAACCGACATCACAGCACTCGGAGCATTCCCATAGGTGCTCCGTCCCCATCTTCAGCAGCCAGTGAAGAGTTCCGATACTAATGGTGCCACTAGCATTTCGATTAAACGACCGTATGAAGTCTTTTCCCTGTACATGAAGTCTTTCCCCTGTACATGAAGAACACTGTCTTTCCCCTGTACATGAAGTCTTTCCCCTGTACATGAAGTCTTTCCTCTGTACATGAAGTCTTTCCCCTGTACATGAAGTCTTTCCCCTGTACATGAAGTCTTTCCCCTGTACATGAAGTCTTTCCCCTGTACATGAAGTCTTTCCCCTGTACATGAAGTCTTTCCCCTGTACATGAAGTCTTTCCCCTGTACATGAAGTCTTTCCCCTGTACATGAAGTCTTTCCTCTGTACATGAAGTCTTTCCTCTGTACATGAAGTCTTTCCCCTGTACATGATGTCTTTCCCCTGTACATGAAGTCTTTCCCCTGTACATGAAGTCTTTCCCCTGTACATGAAGTCTTTCCACTGTACATGAAGTCTTTCCCCTGTACATGAAGTCTTTCCCCTGTACATGAAGTCTTTCCCCTGTACATGAAGTCTTTCCCCTGTACATGAAGTCTTTCCCCTGTACATGAAGTCTTTCCCCTGTACATGAAGTCTTTCCCCTGTACATGAAGTCTTTCCCCTGTACATGAAGTCTTTCCCCTGTACATGAAGTCTTTCCTCTGTACATGAAGTCTTTCCTCTGTACATGAAGTCTTTCCCCTGTACATGAAGTCTTTCCCCTGTACATGAAGTCTTTTCCCTGTACATAAAGTCTTTCTCCTGTACATGAAGTCTTTCCCCTGTACATGAAGTCTTTCCCCTGTACATGAAGTCTTTCTCCTGTACATGAAGTCTTTCCCCTGTACATGAAGTCTTTCCCCTGTACATGAAGTCTTTCCCCTGTACATGAAGTCTTTCCCCTGTACATGAAGTCTTTCCCCTGTACATGAAGTCTTTCCCCTGTACATGAAGTCTTTCCCCTGTACATGAAGTCTTTCCCCTGTACATGAAGTCTTTCCCCTGTACATGAAATCTTTTCCCTGTACATGAAGTCTTTCCCCTGTACATGAAGTCTTTCCTAAGGTTTGTTGTTAACTGCCAATGCTCTTTTCTTCTGCCATTCATCTCCCAACAGAGCTTGAGCCCACAAAACAATTCATGCAAATCAGTTCTTGTATGTGCTAATCAGTTCTTGTACTTCCTATTTTTTCCATCTTCTTAAAATCCATGCTATGTGGCGCTGGTAGTCATGCCCATTTTTGGTAACAACTGTTGGCCTTGGCACCTTTAGCAACTGCCTTCACGCATTTACTGTGTAAGCATATTTCCTGATTGTGCTTGGGACTAATTGTTTGTTCACCAGTTTTTCAAATGGGACGGCGATGGACATTTCATTTGATTTTCATGGCACAGGAACGGAGCAAGTGTGAAGTGACCTGAGTGCAGTGAAGTTGAAACCTTGACTTGTCTATAATTCTCTTCTCTTCATATTTTATAGTCCCCCCCCCCCCCCACCCCCCACCTTGTGGTTTGAGCATCATCAACAGAGCTACAGAGCCCTTTGGGAGCGAGCGAACAGTACAGATGCACAGACAGATCATTACGGTCTAAGGAGAATGGCGCTGCAAGGAGTTACCAGGGCAATCTGGCCGACACTCAACACTCAGGGGAAGGATGAGATGGATATACAATCAGACAGTTACTGGTACCATCGGAATTGGAACTCTTCACTTGCTGCTGAAGATAAGGACTGAGCACTTTTGGGAGTGAAAGTGCTGTGATGTCGATTCTTAATTCAACTTTCAACAGAACTACAGAATATGTGGCATATGATACTCTCGCAAGGTGGCAAAGAACTGTTGAGTCAAATTCGATCAAACCTGGTGCAATGAAGGTAAACTTTTCCATCCAAACAGCCTTTTTTTTTCCTTTTGCCTTTCCATTTAGTCGGCTCTGTGGCTAAGTCAATGCGAACCCTTCGTAATGCCGGGATGCCGGGTTCGATCCCAGCTGCGGGCCATGTGCCCTGCGTTGGTTTTGACAGTTGTATCAGGGAGCCGACCGTCCAGTTGCAATGGCAAACTAGTGGACGTAAATTTGCCTAGAGAAACCACACAATAGTCAGGGGCTGCTGGGGTTGGTTCTGCAACGTCCTGTAAAGGATACGCAACTAACTAACCCTTTCCATTGAATTCTAATACCTTAATTTACTACAAAGAAACAGTAGCTTACGTATACAAGCTTAAAGGCACCGCTGTATTGTCCCATGGATATCCCAAATATATGTCTGACTTGGCTAGTGAACACATGGCAGGCTGCACCAGTTGTGAAGCCACTGATCAGTGGATCAGACAGATACACTGTGAGGAAGCCAAGCTGTAGAACTCCTAACAAAAGCTACAAGAAAGAACATCACATATTCATTTTTTTAATATTTGAAAAATAATTTAGTTTATTATATAATATTAAAATAACATTCATATAAGAATAAACTCACAGGGAGCAAGTACAGCGGGGATCTACAGTCATCAGTAGAAATTATCCTCTGTCGACACACGTTTCGGCCCACGATTCCTAAACGTATTCGGAGGTGGGCCCACCTGAGTTCATGAAGCTCAGGGCTGCTTCCCCGCTGCACAGAATTACCGGATGGTGTTATTATTTCGGCCAGAGACAAGACGACTTAGTGGTTTCGAAGGAGGTACTGTGAGATAAGAAGCCGCCGCGACAGCGTAATTAAAACAGTCCGCATGCCTGGACGACCGAGCGACAAGCTTACTTTGGTTTACCGGACACATGTTGGACTTTTAATAGCAGTTGGCAGAGGAACACTGGCAGACAACTCGTACACGATGGACTTTCAAAGGGATGAGAAACTCCTTTCCGCTAGACACCCGGACCAGCTCACCGAGGCCCGTCCCCTACGTTGTTGCGCTGCGTCCAAAGCCAGCTCGAGGCCCTTTCGGCTGCCTCACCCAGTTTTTTGAGTGTTCGTTTCCGTTCATTACCGCGCAATCCTAATTCTTTCACCACATTGTAGAGCGAAGTGGAAACGAGGCCTCTCGCTCCCACTTCGACGGCAAATACCCGCACTGTGTAAGCCTCGTTTCTCCTCAAACCGGCTGCTAAATCACTGTACTTTTCGAGCTTGTACAAGTGATTCTCCTCCATACGCGACTCAAACGGGACCGTCAACTCAATCAGGATGAGTTGCCGTTTTTGCGCAGAATGGAGAACGATGTCCGGTCGCAGGCCGGTTTTACGGATCAACTCGGGATACCGTTCATGTCCTGGCAGATCAACCGCCAGTAACCAGTCCCTCGCAGAGTCTAGCGCAGATGGAGCGAATGCGTTTTTGTTGACCTTACCGATTGGAACCTGCCCAGCCTTGAGGAAACGAATGGGGGCGATACTAGAACTGGCTCTGGCATTAGCCCTCATTCTAGCCTGGTCGACAACTGCTGCTAACTCCTTTAGCACCTTGTTGTGGCGTCAGGTGTATCGGCCTTGACCTAGAGCTTTCCTGCACGCGGACAGGACGTGCTCAAGAGTTTGCTTCGATTTGCACAACGGGCAAGTCGGATCGTTGGTCGCAGACCATTTAACCATGTTAACACCGGACGGTAATACATCGTACGCCGAACGAACGATAAAGCTCAGTCGCAGCGGGGTCATCCGCCAGATCTCACCCCATGTGAGTATTCTCGGCAATGCGCTCTCCAGGCTGACCCAATGGCCCTGCTGCGACTGCTGGGCAGCTTTCTGGACCCGAACCTCGTTTTCGTTGTCCCTCACCGTTTGTATCACCATGTCTCGGCGCTCTTTGGCTGGGGCCTTTGACCACCAATTGACCTTCCCGTGCCCTAGGCCTCGACGGTCGGTTTGTGTGTAACCCATTACCTCCTTCAATTTTAGTGCGTTCTGAGCAGATTCTATCGCATCCAGGACCCTCCACTTCTGACCAGTCTTTAGAGCGGGCTGGACAGCGATGACATTTGGGTCTGAGGACTCGCGCAGAAGCATGGCGACCCTAACTTTGCCGACTTTAAACTCTTCGGTTATAGACTTGAACGGAAGTACCAGCTTAGCCTGTTTACAATACAGAGCCACGTCGGTCAGACAAGGCGGTGCACCAATCCACTTTCTTAAGGCTGTGTTGATTTTCTTTTCCATGGCTTCCACTGCAGTCATCGTCACCTCGTAGACTAACAGTGGCCATAGGAGCTTCGGAATCAACATGAATTGGAGACACCATACCTTGAATTTTCCGATCAGCCTGCATCGCTCGATCGCGAGCAGGCCTGTAGCCAGTGACTCATGTATTCGCCGGACTTCCGCTCTGTCAGATAACTTCGAATCGTAAACGCGACCGAGACTCTTCACCGGTTCCTCCAGAACCGTAGGGATCTTGTTCCTTGCCACCGTAAAACTGGTCGCCGACACCCTGCCCTTATAGATTGACAGACTCCTCGACTTCTGCGGTTTGAACTGCATACCGCTCCATTGGACCACCGCGTCCAATCTATTCAGGATCGTGCGGGCAGACTCCTCGCTGCCCGTTATAATAGTCGTGTCATCCATAAATGCGCGTAGTGGCGGCAACCAGTGATTCCCTATTTGAAGGCCCAGTCCGTAGCCGGCCGCCCCGTCTAACATGATCTGCATTGCCATGACAAACAGTATGGGTGAGATCGTACAGCCCATAGCTATCCCAATCTGCAACTCAGTCCACCTCGTGGTAAACGTCGAGGTAGAAGAAGCGCAAAGCGAACTTGGAGAAATATTGCTCGACCATTTGACTGATCTGTGTCGGTACGTGAAACATGCGAAGGGCTCGCCACAGTAGCCTATGGGGGACTGCCCCGTAGGCGTTGGCTAAGTCCAACCATATAACGTGCAAATCGGTTCTCTCATGCTTGGCTCTCTGGATAGCCTCCCAGATCATGGTCGCGTGTTCAAGGCACCCAGGAACGCCTGGGATACCACCCTTCTGAACACTCGTATCTATGTACTTGTTAGTCATCAGATACTGTGTGAGCCGGCGAGCCATGACTGAGAAGAATATCTTACCCTCAACATTCAACAGCGAGATGGGCCTGAATTGGGAAAGACTCTTCGAGTCCTGCTCTTTGGGAATGTAGACCCCATTTGCCTTTGACCACTCTGGACATATGTGGTTGCGGATCCACGCTTGTCTCAACAAGACGTGAAGCATTTTAAGGATTTTCGGGCAACGCTTGTAAAGAACGTACGGGACACCGTTCGGACCTGGGGCAGACTTGCCGCTGGCCTTTTTTCACAACGTCCTCAACCTCAGACCAAAGGGGAGGTACCATTTTAAATGGTACCTTCGGCACCGAAGGCTGTTTGAGACCGCTAAGGATCTCTGGATTGTCATCGAGAGGCTCTCTCCTCTTTTTATCCGAGTACATCTTGCGTAGATGTAGCTCTAGTTCTTCCTGACTGACAACCAGAGTCCCAGACTTCGGTTGCTCGAATAGACCTCGGGCAAACTGATACGGGTCCCTAAAGAATTTCTCTCGCTCCCTTTTGGTTCTTCGTCTGTTGTTACAGAAACGCTCGGCGCGACAGAGGGCACTGTGTTTGTTCTTTAAATGCACCCACACTTCATACAGCCCCTCCCGTTCGCTGCCCGTAGCGGCTTTGAACCGTTTTCTGAGGGCATTCTTGTCTGCCCGACACTTCAGAATGTCCCTCTGCCTCCTGCTAGTATTCTGCTTGGCACCCGGCTGTGCCTTTACTACTGTCCCGAACTCGCGGGAGCAGTGTTCATATATTACATCACCAAATTTAGTAAGCTTGTCGCCTAGCGACTTCTTGTTTAGAGTTTGTTTAAGTACCTCACATAATGTAGCCTCCAACTTACACCACACCACCTTCTCGCTCGCAGGTGGAAACCTGATCTTGGAACGCACTTCTTCAGAAATCATCAAAGGTGCTCCTCCGCAGTCGACGTCATGGGCCTCTCTGGGCGAGTGGGGTTCACCCTGCCCGTCGTACCCTGACGACTCAGAAACTACCACAGGAGTGGTAGTTTTGCGACGGCGTTTACTGCGTGGAGCACCCTCGCATTTCATTCTTCCGGCATGCGTTCTCAGACCATGCAACCCCGTGAAGCTTTTTCCACATGTACAGAGCCAGCCCGGACGTTGGGCGAGTATCTCAGTCCGGGGGCTAGCAAAGTCGTCACCGAGGGTATCAATCAGATTGGGCCCTTCATTCTCCCCCCCCCTTTCGGAGGGCCCTGGGGGCATATTTCATTGTGGTCGTACGAAATCGGAGGTATTATACTGTGTTAGGGGTGATCAACCCGGTCCACAGTCGACATCTGTCTCCAGATGTCAGTTTATCCCCCCGGCGATACCGGGGGGCCAGTCTTTCCATAGGTGTCAAAAGGACTTTCCCGATAGTCACCAGTCTTTCCTGGTAGTCTTGTGGGCTAGCCACGTACAATAAGAATAAACTCACAGGGAGCAAGTACATAAGATTTACTGACTGACTTTCTAGCCCACTAGGA